CCCCAACTCTCCAATAAAATGCACCGTTTACTCCTGTTTGAGTAACGTTTGCAGATTTGTTAAGCAGCAAACGTTAAGCTGTTTTGTTAAGCTTTAAGCTAAGTTTTACTATACATTTAAGACCTGTTGGAGAGCTTTACATCGTCTGCAGGTACAAATGAGCAGCGGGACTATAAGTATCACAGACGGTGTGTGGAAGTTGGAAAGTATTGAGAGACGAACACATTATTTTGTTTGCTTAAAAAGTGGAAAAACTCTTTCGTGGAATGTGATTATATATTCTTTGCCAGGTAGTGTTATCAGACAAATTAGTTTCAATAAAGTTAATATCACAATTTTCACAATTCTTCGTATTTAACGTGTTAATAATGTCTTAGTCTGGCAGGACTCTTGAAACAAACACTGGTCCTAAGGGTTGAACAAACAAAAGATATTTAATGATTATGAAGATTTTATGACTGTTTTGGAAACATCACGAATCATGAATATACTATTAGAAAAAGAAAAATATTTGAAAAGTAGAAGAATGTGGATATAAAAAGTACAAAGTTTGGCATTATTACATGTTGAATTATTCACTATGAAATCATGAAAGAAACGGCATCATAAGAAAGTAATGTTCTTGTCTCTTCATGTCATTTGCTGTTTTGACACCGTGACTCATTGTTACTGTCCTTTTGGCCAAACCTGTTCCAGTGAAGCGGAACAGGTTTACATATCAGACGCAAACACGTGACGGCTCACTATTATTACCTCACATATCTTCTCTGAATGCATTGAGGCGACTACATGCTCACTTCACAGTACGCCACCAGCTCAGACACGTAGTGCAGCGTACACATACACCTTTGGGTTGAAACACTTTCCTCGGCGGACGGCAGGCGGCCACGCGTTAGAGCCCGGTGACTCAACTTCATCTTACCATAAGGGCATGATGATGGTGACTGACTGATGCAGAGGTGGGAGGGAGGCGGGCAAGACAAGTGACAAGCTAGAACAGGATCACAGCTCCTTTGAAGGCGGCTGGGCACACACACACACACACACACACACACACACACACACACAC